GCCGTGCACGCTCTCCCTCCCTGTGCCTTGCACGCTCTCCCTCTCTGTGCCGTGCACGCTCTCCCTCCCTGTGCCGTGCACGCTCTCCCTCCCTGCGCCGTGCACACTCTCACTCCCAGAGCCGTGCACGCACTCCCTCCCTGTGCCGTGGACGCTCTTCCTCCCTGCGCCGTGCACGCTCTCCCTCCCTGTGCCTTGCACGCTCTCCCTCCCTGTGCCGTGCACGCTCTCCCTCCCTGTGCCGTGCACGCTCTCCCTCCCTGTGCCGTGCACGCTCTCCCTCCCTGTGCCGTGCACGCTCTCCCTCCCTGTGCCGTGCACGCACTCCCTCCCTGTGCCTTGCACGCTCTCCCTCCCTGTGCCGTGCACGCTCTCCCTCCCTGTGCCGTGCACGCTCTCCCTCCCTGTGCCGTGCACGCTCTCCCTCCCTGTGCCGTGCACGCTCTCCCTCCCTGTGCCGTGCACGCTCTCCCTCCCTGTGCCGTGCACGCTCTCCCTCCCTGTGCCTTGCACGCTCTCCCTCCCTGTGCCGTGCACGCTCTCTCTCCCTGTGCCGTGCACGCTCTCCCTCCCTGCGCCGTGCACACTCTCACTCCCTGAGCCGTGCACGCTCTCCCTCCCTGTGCCGTGCACGCTCTTCCTCCCTGCGCCGTGCACGCTCTCCCTCCCTGTGCCTTGCACGCTCTCCCTCCCTGTGCCGTGCACGCTCTCCCTCCCTGTGCCGTGCACGCTCTCCCTCCCTGTGCCGTGAACGCTCTCCCTCCATGTGCCGTGCACGCTCTTCCTCCATGTGCCGTGCACGCTCTCCCTCCCTATGCCGTGCACGCTCTCCCTCCATGTGCCGTGCACGCTCTCCCTCCATGTGCCGTGCACGCTCTCCCTCCATGTGCCGTGCACGCTCTCCCTCCCTGTGCCTTGCACGCTCTCCCTCCCTGTGCCGTGCACGCTCTCCCTCCCTGTGCAGTGCACGCTCTCACTCCCTGTGCATTGCACGCTCTCCCTCCCTGTGCCGTGCACGCTCTCCCTCTCTGTGCCGTGCACGCTCTCCCTCCATGTGCCGTGCACGCTCTCCCTCCATGTGCCGTGCACGCTCTCCCTCCCTGTGCCTTGCACGCTCTCCCTCCCTGTGCCGTGCACGCTCTCCCTCCCTGTGCATTGCACGCTCTCACTCCCCGTGCATTGCACGCTCTCCCTCCCTGTGCCGTGCACGCTCTCCCTCCCTGTGCCTTGCACGCTCTCCATCCCTGTGCCGTGCACGCTCTCCCTCCCTGTGCCGTGCACGTTCTCCCTCCCTGTGCCGTGCACGCTCTCCCTCCCTGTGCCTTGCACGCTCTCCCTCCCTGTGCCGTGCACGCTCTCCCTCTTTGTGCCGTGCACGCTCTCACTCCCTGTGCATTGCACGCTCACCCTCCCTGTGCCGTGCACGCTCTCCCTCCCTGTGCCTTGCACGCTCTCCCTCCCTGTGCCTTGCACGCTCTCCCACCCTGTGCCGTGCACGCTCTCACTCCCTGTGCATTGCACGCTCTCCCTCCCTGTGCCGTGCACGCTCTCCCTCCCTGTGCCTTGCACGCTCTCCCTCCCTGTGCCTTGCACGCTCTCCCTCCCTGTGCCGTGCACGCTCTCCCTCCATGTGCCGTGCACGCTCTCCCTCCCTGTGCCGTGCACGCTCTCCCTCCCTGTGTCGTGCACGCTCTCCCTCCATGTGCCGTGCACGCTCTCCCTCCCTGTGCCTTGCACGCTCTCCCTCCCTGTGCCGTGCACGCTCTCCCTCCCTGTGCCGTGCACGCTCTCCCTCCTTGTGCCGTGCACGCTCTCCCTCCCTGTGCCGTGCACGCTCTCCCTCCATGTTCCGTGCACGCTCTCCCTCCCTCCCTGTGCCGTGCACGCTCTCCCTCCCTGTGCCGTGCACGTTCTCCCTCCCTGTGCCGTGCACGCTCTCCCTCCCTGGTCGTACACGCTCCCCCTCCATGGCCGTACACGCTCCCCCTCCCTGGCCGTACATGCTCCCCCACCCTGGCCGTACATGCTCCCCCTCCCTGGCCGTACACGCTCCCCCTCCCTGGCCGTACACGCTCCCCCTCCCTGGCCGTACACGCTCCCTCTCCCTGGCCGTACACGCTCCCTCTCCCTGGCCGTACATGCTCCCCATCCCTGGCCGTACACGCTCCCCCTCCCTGGCCGTACACGCTCCCCCTCCCTGGCCGTACACGCTCCCCCTCCCTGGCCGTACACGCTCCCCCTCCCTGGCCGTACACGCTCCCCCTCCCTGGCCGTACACGCTCCCCCTCCCTGGCCGTACACGCTCTCCCTCCCTGGCCGTACACACTCCCCCTTCCCTGGCCGTACGCGCTCCCCTTCCCTGGCCGTACACGCTCCCTCTCCCTGGCCGTACACGCTCCCTCTCCCTGGCCGTATATGCTCCCCTTCCCTGGCCGTACACGCTTCCTCTCCCTGGCCGTACATGCTCCCTCTCCCTGGCCGTACATGCTCCCCTTCCCTGGCCGTACACGCTTCCTCTCCCTGGCCGTACATGCTCCCTCTCCCTGGCCGTACATGCTCCCTCTCCCTGGCCGTACACGCTTCCTCTCCCTGGCCGTACATGCTCCCTCTCCCTGGCCGTACATGCTCCCTCTCCCTGGCCGTACATGCTCCCCCTCCCTGGCCGTACATGCTCCCCCTCCCTGGCCGTACATGCTCCCTCTCCCTGGCCGTACATGCTCCCCCTCCCTGGCCGTACACGCTTCCTCTCCCTGGCCGTACATGCTCCCCCTCCCTGGCCGTACACGCTTCCTCTCCCTGGCCGTACATGCTCCCTCTCCCTGGCCGTACATGCTCCCTCTCCCTGGCCGTACATGCTCCCTCTCCCTGGCCGTACATGCTCCCTCTCCCTGGCCGTACATGCTCCCTCTCCCTGGCCGTACATGCTCCCTCTCCCTGGCCGTACATGCTCCCCCTCCCTGGCCGTACATGCTCCCTCTCCCTGGCCGTACATGCTCCCCTTCCCTGGCCGTACACGCTTCCTCTCCCTGGCCGTACATGCTCCCCCTCCCTGGCCGTACACGCTTCCTCTCCCTGGCCGTACATGCTCCCTCTCCCTGGCCGTACATGCTCCCTCTCCCTGGCCGTACATGCTCCCCCTCCCTGGCCGTACATGCTCCCTCTCCCTGGCCGTACATGCTCCCCCTCCCTGGCCGTACACGCTTCCTCTCCCTGGCCGTACATGCTCCCTCTCCCTGGCCGTACATGCTCCCTCTCCCTGGCCGTACATGCTCCCCTTCCCTGGCCGTACATGCTCCCTCTCCCTGGCCGTACATGCTCCCCCTCCCTGGCCGTACACGCTTCCTCTCCCTGGCCGTACATGCTCCCTCTCCCTGGCCGTACATTCTCCCCCTCCCTGGCCGTACATGCTCCCTCTCCCTGGCCGTACATGCTCCCTCTCCCTGGCCGTACATGCTCCCTCTCCCTGGCCGTACATGCTCCCCCTCCCTGGCCGTACATGCTCCCTCTCCCTGGCCGTACATGCTCCCCTTCCCTGGCCGTACATGCTCCCTCTCCCTGGCCGTACATGCTCCCTCTCCCTGGCCGTACATGCTCCCCCTCCCTGGCCGTACATGCTCCCTCTCCCTGGCCGTACATGCTCCTCCTCCCTGGCTGTACACGCTTCCTCTCCCTGGCCGTACATGCTCCCTCTCCCTGGCCGTACATGCTCCCTCTCCCTGGCCGTACATGCTCCCCTTCCCTGGCCGTACATGCTCCCTCTCCCTGGCCGTACATGCTCCCCCTCCCTGGCCGTACACGCTTCCTCTCCCTGGCCGTACATGCTCCCTCTCCCTGGCCGTACATTCTCCCCCTCCCTGGCCGTACATGCTCCCTCTCCCTGGCCGTACACGCTTCCTCTCCCTGGCCGTACACGCTTCCTCTCCCTGGCCGTACATGCTCCCTCTCCCTGGCCGTACATTCTCCCCCTCCCTGGCCGTACATGCTCCCTCTCCCTGGCCGTACACGCTCCCCCTCCCTGGCCGTACATGCTCCCCCTCCCTGGCCGTACATTCTCCCCCTCCCTGGCCGTACATGCTCCCTCTCCCTGGCCGTACACGCTCCCCCTCCCTGGCCGTACATGCTCCCTCTCCCTGGCCGTACACGCTTCCTCTCCCTGGCCGTACACGCTTACTCTCCGTGGCCGTACATGCTCCCTCTCCCTGGCCGTACATGCTCCCTCTCCCTGGCCGTACACGCTCCCCCTCCCTGGCCGTACACGCTCCCCCTCCCTGGCCGTACATGCTCCCCCTCCCTGCGCCGTACATGCTCCCCCTCCCTGGCCGTACACGCTCCCCCTCCCTGCGCCGTACATGCTCCCCCTCCCTGCGCCTTACACGCTTCCATATACGTTTATTTATTTCCATACACAAGAGACCTAACAGTCGTGTACAGTGACCAGCACGCAGAGCGTCTTGGGCAGGTCCTTCATCATAATGTTCCCCGGAACACGACCCGCCAAATCGTCTAACAACCAGGTACCCATTCACTGCTGGGTGAACAGAGGCTACAGTTGAGGATTGGCGCCCGGTCAATCCTCCTCGGCTAGGATACGAACCCAAGCCAAAACGCTTGCGAAACGCAGACGAATGTGTGATCACTTCGCCACGAAGACTGCGTGGGGACTACATCGTAGAAACCATCATGGCATCGTATTATTGTTGCTCAAATTATCCGCCATTTTCTTCCTGTGCCCCCCCCCACCCCCACCCCCCCTCCCCAGTTAACCATCTGTCTCCCGTATTTTGCAAAGTATACAATTAAGATGCTGACACGTGCAACAATTTCTGAAAGCGAATGTTGCACGAAGAACTATGAGACGAGAGTGTGAGCGACGTTGAAGCAGCAGCAGCAGCAGCAGCAGCAGCAGCAGCAGCAGCAGCAGCAGCAGCAGTAGGAGCAGCAGCAGCAGCAGGCTTCCTGTTGCTTTGTTGGGTGTGCATGGCCCCCGTGTCTGCCAGTCTGCCTCTGACCGCCATGGCTGACGCTACCTCTCTGCCACTCCTGCTGCTGCTGCTGCTTCATGGCTCCTGTGTTGGTGAGTACCTGGCTGGTGCGTGTACCTCTGTGTTGGTGAGTACCTGGCTGATGCGTGTACCACTGTGTTGGTGAGTACCTGGCTGGTGCGTGTATCTCTGTGTTGGTGAGTACCTGGCTGATGCGTGTACCACTGTGTTGGTGAGTACCTGGCTGGTGCGTGTACCACTGTGTTGGTGAGTACCTGGCTGGTGCGTGTACCACTGTGTTGGTGAGTACCTGGCTGGTGCGTGTACCTCTGTGTTGGTGAGTACCTGGCTGGTGCGTGTACCTCTGTGCTGGTGAGTACCTGGCTGGTGCGTGTACCTCTGTGTTGGTGAGTACCTGGCTGGTGCGTGTACCACTGTGTTGGTGAGTACCTAACTGGTGCCTGTACCACTGTGTTGGTGAGTACCTGGCTGGTGCGTGTACCACTGTGTTGGTGAGTACCTGGCTGGTGCGTGTACTACTGTGTTGGTGAGTACCTGGCTGGTGCGTGTACCACTGTGTTGGTGAGTACCTGGCTGGTGCGTGTACCACTGTGTTGGTGAGTACCTGGCTGGTGCGTGTACCACTGTTGGTGAGTACCTGGCTGGTGCGTGTACCTCTGTGTTGGTGAGTACCTGGCTGGTGCCTGTACCACTGTGTTGGTGAGTACCTGGCTGGTGCCTGTACCACTGTGTTGGTGAGTACCTGGCTGGTGCGTGTACCTCTGTGTTGGTGAGTACCTGGCTGGTGCGTGTACCTCTGTGTTGGTGAGTACCTGGCTGGTGCGTGTACCTCTGTGTTGGTGAGTACCTGGCTGGTGCGTGTACCTCTGTGTTGGTGAGTACCTGGCTGGTGCGTGTACCGCTGTGTTGGTGAGTACCTGGCTGGTGCGTGTACCACTGTGTTGGTGAGTACCTGGCTGGTGCGTGTACCTCTGTGTTGGTGAGTACCTGGCTGGTGCGTGTACCTCTGTGTTGGTGAGTACCTGGCTGGTGCGTGTACCTCTGTGTTGGTGAGTACCTGGCTGGTGCGTGTACCTCTGTGTTGGTGAGTACCTGGCTGGTGCGTGTACCACTGTGTTGGTGAGTACCTGGCTGGTGCGTGTACCACTGTGTTGGTGAGTACCTGGCTGGTGCGTGTACCACTGTGTTGGTGAGTACCTGGCTGGTGCCTGTACCTCTGTGTTGGTGAGTACCTGGCTGGTGCGTGTACCTCTGTGTTGGTGAGTACCTCTCTGGTGCGTGTACCGCTGTGTTGGTGAGTACCTGGCTGGTACCTGTACCACTGTGTTGGTGAGTACCTGGCTGGTGCGTGTACCGCTGTGTTGGTGAGTACCTGGCTGGTGCCTGTACCACTGTGTTGGTGAGTACCTGGCTGGTGCGTGTACCTCTGTGTTGGTGAGTACCTGGCTGGTGCGTGTACCTCTGTGTTGGTGAGTACCTGGCTGGTGCGTGTACCGCTGTGTTGGTGAGTACCTGGCTGGTGCGTGTACCTCTGTGTTGGTGAGTACCTGGCTGGTGCGTGTACCTCTGTGTTGGTGAGTACCTGGCTGGTGCGTGTACCACTGTGTAGGTGAGTACCTGGCTGGTGCGTGTACCACTGTGTTGGTGAGTACCTTGGTGGTGCGTGTACCTCTGTGTTGGTGAGTACCTGGCTGGTGCGTGTACCGCTGTGTTGGTGAGTACCTGGCTGGTGCGTGTACCTCTGTGTTGGTGAGTACCTGGCTGGTGCGTGTACCTCTGTGTTGGTGAGTACCTGGCTGGTGCGTGTACCTCTGTGTTGGTGAGTACCTGGCTGGTGCGTGTACCACTGTGTTGGTGAGTACCTGGCTGGTGCGTGTACCACTGTGTTGGTGAGTACCTGGCTGGTGCCTGTACCTCTGTGTTGGTGAGTACCTGGCTGGTGCGTGTACCTCTGTGTTGGTGAGTACCAGGCTGGTGCGTGTACCACTGTGTTGGTGAGTACCTTGGTGGTGCGTGTACCTCTGTGTTGGTGAGTACCTGGCTGGTGCGTGTACCACTGTGTTGGTGAGTACCTGGCTGGTGCCTGTACCACTGTGTTGGTGAGTACCTTGGTGGTGCGTGTACCACTGTGTTGGTGAGTACCTTGGTGGTGCGTGTACCTCTGTGTTGGTGAGTACCTTGGTGGTGCGTGTACCTCTGTGTTGGTGAGTACCAGGCTGGTGCGTGTACCACTGTGTTGGTGAGTACCTTGGTGGTGCGTGTACCACTGTGTTGGTGAGTACCTGGCTGGTGCGTGTACCACTGTGTTGGTGAGTACCTGGCTGGTGCGTGTACCTCTGTGTTGGTGAGTACCTGGCTGGTGCGTGTACCACTGTGTTGGTGAGTACCTGGCTGGTGCGTGTACCACTGTGTTGGTGAGTACCTGGCTGGTGCGTGTACCACTGTGTTGGTGAGTACCTTGGTGGTGCGTGTACCACTGTGTTGGTGAGTACCTGGCTGGTGCGTGTACCACTGTGTTGGTGAGTACCTGGCTGGTGCGTGTACCACTGTGTTGGTGAGTACCTTGGTGGTGCGTGTACCACTGTGTTGGTGAGTACCTGGCTGGTGCGTGTACCTCTGTGTTGGTGAGTACCTGGCTGGTGCGTGTACCACTGTGTTGGTGAGTACCTGGCTGGTGCGTGTACCTCTGTGTTGGTGAGTACCTGGCTGGTGCCTGTACCTCTGTGTTGGTGAGTACCTGACTGGTGCCTGTACCTCTGTGTTGGTGAGTACGTGGCTGGTGCCTGTACCTCTGTGTTGGTGAGTACCTGGCTGGTGCGTGTACCACTGTGTTGGTGAGTACCTGGCTGGTGCGTGTACCACTGTGTTGGTGAGTACCTTGGTGGTGCGTGTACCACTGTGTTGGTGAGTACCTTGGTGGTGCGTGTACCTCTGTGTTGGTGAGTACCTTGGTGGTGCGTGTACCACTGTGTTGGTGAGTACCTGGCTGGTGCGTGTACCACTGTGTTGGTGAGTACCTGGCTGGTGCCTGTACCACTGTGTTGGTGAGTACCTTGGTGGTGCGTGTACCACTGTGTTGGTGAGTACCTGGCTGGTGCGTGTACCTCTGTGTTGGTGAGTACCTGGCTGGTGCCTGTACCACTGTGTTGGTGAGTACCTTGGTGGTGCGTGTACCACTGTGTTGGTGAGTACCTTGGTGGTGCGTGTACCTCTGTGTTGGTGAGTACCTTGGTGGTGCGTGTACCACTGTGTTGGTGAGTACCTGGCTGGTGTGTGTACCACTGTGTTGGTGAGTACCTTGGTGGTGCGTGTACCACTGTGTTGGTGAGTACCTTGGTGGTGCGTGTACCACTGTGTTGGTGAGTACCTTGGTGGTGCGTGTACCACTGTGTTGGTGAGTACCTTGGTGGTGCGTGTACCACTGTGTTGGTGAGTACCTTGGTGGTGCGTGTACCACTGTGTTGGTGGGTACCTTGGTGGTGCGTGTACCTCTGTGTTGGTGAGTACCTTGGTGGTGCCTGTACCTCTGTGTTGGTGAGTACCTGGCTGGTGCGTGTACCTCTATGTTGGTGAGTACCTGGCTGGTGTGTGTACCACTGTGTTGGTGAGTACCTTGGTGGTGCGTGTACCACTGTGTTGGTGAGTACCTGGCTGGTGCGTGTACCTCTGTGTTGGTGAGTACCTGGCTGGTGTGTGTACCACTGTGTTGGTGAGTACCTGGCTGGTGCCTGTACCTCTGTGTTGGTGAGTACCTGGCTGGTGTGTGTACCACTGTGTTGGTGAGTACCTGGCTGGTGCCTGTACCTCTGTGTTGGTGAGTACCTTGGTGGTGCGTGTACCTCTGTGTTGGTGAGTACCTGGCTGGTGTGTGTACCTCTGTGTTGGTGAGTACCTGGCTGGTGCCTGTACCTCTGTGTTGGTGAGTACCTTGGTGGTGCGTGTACCTCTGTGTTGGTGAGTACCTTGGTGGTGCGTGTACCTCTGTGTTGGTGAGTACCTGGCTGGTGCGTGTACCTCTGTGTTGGTGAGTACCTGGCTGGTGCCTGTACCTCTGTGTTGGTGAGTACCTGGCTGGTGCGTGTACCTCTGTGTTGGTGAGTACCTGGCTGGTGCGTGTACCTCTGTGTTGGTGAGTACCTGGCTGGTGCGTGTACCACTGTGTTGGTGAGTACCTTGGTGGTGCGTGTACCTCTGTGTTGGTGAGTACCTTGGTGGTGCGTGTACCTCTGTGTTGGTGAGTACCTGGCTGGTGCCTGTACCTTTATGTTGGTGAGTACCTGGCTGGTGCCTGTACCTCTGTGTTGGTGAGTACCTGGCTGGTGCCTGTACCTCTGTGTTGGTGAGTACCTGCTTCAAACACTCTACCCCTCACCTCCACACTCTACCCCTCACCCCCACACTCTACCCCTCAATCCTATACTCTACCCTTAACCTCCACACTCTACCCCTCACCCCCTACACTGTACCCCTCACCCCTACACTCTACCCCTCACCCCTACACTCTACCCCTACACTCTACCCCTCACCCCTACACTCTACCCCCTCACCCCTACACTCTACCCCCTCACCCCTACACTCTACCCCTCACCCCTACACTCTACCCCTCACCTCCACACTCTACCCCTCACCCCCACACTGTACCCCTCACCCCCACACCCTACCCCTCAATCCTATACTCTACCCTTAACCTCCACACTCTACCCCTCACCCCCTACACTCTACCCCTCACCCCTACACTCTACCCCTCACCCCTACACTCTACCCCTCACCCCTACACTCTACCCCCTCACCCCTACACTCTACCCCCTCACCCCTACACTCTACCCCTCACCCCTACACTCTACCCCTCACTCCCACACTCTACCCCTCACCCCCACACTCTACCCCTCAATCCTATACTCTACCCCTCAATCCTATACTCTACCCTTAACCTCCACACTCTACCCCTCACCCCCTACACTCTTCCCCTCACCCCTACACTCTACCCCTCACCCCTACACTCTACCCCTACACTCTACCCCTCACCCCTACACTCTACCCCCTCACCCCTACACTCTACCCCCCTCACCCC